CCTGCCCCCCGCCCCCTTGGCCCCCGCAGGTGAGCATGAACCAGATGATGGAGATGGTGATGGGCTTTGATGGCATGAAGAAGGGCATCAAGCACATCCCGGGCCCCGAGGGCGTGCGCGGCCGCAACTCCGACAACAAGCTCATCCTGGAAAAGCTGGGCTGGGAGCCAACCATCAAGCTGGAGGTGGGGCAGGAGGGGGGCCTGGCTGGCTGGCTGGGCTGGAGCTCATCTCGCGGCTGGCTGCCCGGCTGGGCCGACAGTGTCTGTGGAGCGGAGGAGGTGAGGCGCAGCCCTGCTCAGCCGTCCCCGCCCTGCTGCGCTGCCTGCCGCAGGATGGCCTGCGCGTGACGTACGGCTGGATCAAGGGGGAGCTGGAGAAGGAGGCCAAGGAGCAGGGCAAGGACATCAGGTGGGGCATGGCCGCCACCAGCTGCGCCACCACGCCCGACCTCCTGGGGGGGCGCCACCACGACCCTCCCCCAGCCGCCACCACTCAGTGGCCCACCACCCACCCACCTTGCCTGCCCCCCCTGCAGCGAGTACTCCCACTCAATGGTGGTGGGCACGCAGGCGCCCAAGGAGCTGGGCACGCTGCGCGCGGCAGACGGCCTGGAGGAGTACTCGGGCAAGAAGTGAGCGGGCAAGGGGGGGCGCGCCGCCAGCGCCCACGCCCCCGCCGCGCTGCCCGCGCCCTGCCGGCTCAGCCGACCCGCTCTGCCCCCATCCGGCAGCCAGCGGGTGTGCCAACCAAACGTTGGTGTGCGCACACACACGGATGCTAGACAAGATGACGGGGGCCGACCCCCCTCAGCCTCCCTATTCTGGCTTCGCCGCCTGTTATCTCGTGTGCTTATACTTCGGTTCTGTCACGAGTGAAGCGAGCACTGTTCTCTTGAACCCCTTTTTGCTATGCTGAACGCCATATCCATCAGATGACGCACTGCCGCCCAGCGCTGCACTGGCCCTGCTGCTGTGGGCGCCATTGCCCCACCCATGCGGGCCTGAAACGGTGACTGCTGCGAATGAGCAGCAGCACATGTAATGTACACTTGAAAATGCAGAAAGAGACAGGGAGGCAGCGGCGCACGAAAAGCAAAGGGGTCGGGAGTGGTCGGGAGCATGCGCATGCTGCGCACGCTACTGCGCCCTGGCATGCTGTGGCATCCCCAGGCGGACCAGCGCTGCCTGCGGCTGCTTGGATGTCATGCAAAAGGCGAGGTGCAGGGCGCGGGGCCGGCCCAGCGGCCCATCAGCTGCAGCAGGAGCTGGTCTGCTGCGGCGACGGCTCCCCTGGCCGCACCGTGCCGGGCGCGCCCGCGCCCGTGCCGCCCGCGCCGTAGCCAACCTGCACAGCCCAGGGAGGCAGCGGCGCCGCGGTGGACACACGGGCGCCACTCATGCGGCTGCCCGCCCGCGTGCCCAGCCCCACGCCGCCGCCCCGACCTGGCGGGCCACCTGCAACCAGCACGAGCCGCTCACCTTGATGCCGTAGCTCTCATTGGACACATCAAACACGCCGCTCTGGATCTTGCCGTGGATGGCTCTCGCCGTGTTGATGAACGCCTCCTCCACATTCAGCGCCGTCTTGGCGCTCGTCTCCAGAAACACCAGGCCGTGCTCCTGTGAGCGGGGTGGGGGCGGGGGGCTAGGCACGAGCGGGTGTCAGTGCATGGCGCTGGCGCTGGCGGCGCGGCGTGGCGGCGGGGTGATGAGCGACGCGCGGCAGGCAGGCAGGGCAGGGGTCTGGTGCGCATGGGGAGAGCGCGCCGCCGCCGCTCTCCACCCCACCACCTGGCCACCGCCAGCAGCCCACCACCGCCCTCCCGCCGGCGGTCCCAGCCCACCCACCTTTGCAAACTGCTCCCCCTCCTCGGTGCTCACGGCGCGGCGGTGGCCCAGGTCTGCCTTGTTGCCGATGAGCATGATGGTCATGTTGGGGTTGGCGTGCTGCCGCGCATCCTCCAGCCACGACGCCAGGTGCTCAAACGTCTCGCGCCGCGTGATGTCGTACACCAGCAGCGCCCCCGCCGCGCCGCGGTAGTAGCTGCGCGTGATGGAGCGGAACGACTCCTGGCCGGCCTGCGGGAGGGAGGGAGGGAGGGGGAGGGGCGGCACGCAGGGAGGGCTCGCGTGTGATGCCGCGACAACGGGAGCCGGCGCCTGGGGCTGCTGTTGTGCGGCGTTGAAGAAGACTCCCCGCCCCCGGCCCTTGGCCAGAGGCCCTGCCCCGGCCCGGCCCGCCCCGCCCACCGTGTCCCATATCTGCAGCTTGATCTGCTTGCCGTCGATGTTGATCATGCGCGCCCCAAACTCCACGCCGATGGTCAGGTCGTGCACCGGCTGGAAGCGCTTGTCGGTGAATTGCAGCAGCAGGCACGACTTGCCCACGCCCGTGTCACCTGCACGCGCGCGGGGGGCGGCGGCGGGCAAAGGCTCGCGACGGGAGGGCGCAAGCGACGCGGCGGGGCTGCGGGCAAGGCAGGCGCTGGCACTCCCGCCGCCGGTAGCTGCGCCGGCGAGAGCCGCTCCACCCTCCCCGCTCTGCGCCATTTGGAGAACAGCGCCCCCGCCACTTGCCTATGATAATGTACCTGCATGACAGAAACTTGGGGCGATCGATTTGAGTGCGGGGCAGGCTATTGGCCGGCAGACGCGCAGTGCACAGGCGGCGGGACCCGCGTCGCAGGCGCGCGTCGGTGGCGCTGCAGGGGGCGGCACCCATGCGCCACCGACACCCCCTCGGGCCGTGCCAAGTCCAGCAGCGAGTGCGCACTTGAACAGGTACGCGTAGGACATTGTGGTGGCGCCCCCGACTGTCCGAGTGTTGCTGGCCACAGGCAGGGTGCGGGCTAGGGCTGCCACAGCGTGTGCCGCACAGTGCGCGGGAAGAGCGTGGGCCCGGTCAGCTGAAGAGTCGAGACTTGCTGTGTGCCAGTGAACACGCTGGGGCTGGTGGCTTGCACAGGCGCGGGCGTTGATCAGCGTTAAACGTTCTGTCGCGGCGCACTTGGTGATCGGTGGGTGGTCACAAACAGGCGGCCGCCCGCGTGGCGGCGGGCGATGCCGCAAGGCGCCGCTACAACAACAGCAACAAATTAGAGCAGGCCCAAAATGTCGCGCCCCTGCTCCACCAGGGCAACGGGGAATGCCTGTTCGAGCTGCTGCAGGAGATCAGGCTGCAAATAGGCTGCCATGAGCTTGGCGCCATCGATGCAGCCTCCCTCCTCGCAGGCTATCAGCACCGCCCGCTGCAGCGCCACCAGCTGCTGGTGCTGGGCCGGCGTGAGCAGGCGAGCGGACAGCACCGTGCCGTTGGTGCACACCAGCGTAGCCATGGGGGCAGGCTGGCAGCCGTCTGCGCCGTCGGTGGTACTGCTTGTGCCTTCGCTGCGGTACAGCTCCTCCACCCTCCGCAGCGGAACGCCCAGCACCCCCGCACCCATGCCCGCAAAGCCGCTGGGCGTGTGATACGAGGCCGCCACATCCAGCGGCGCAGCATCGCGTAGCGTGGGTGCGGGCGGCCCGCCGCTGCCGCTGCCGTCCGTCCCGCCTGCTGCTCCCTGCTCCTGCAGCTGCTCCCACCGCTTCCTCACCGCGTCCTGCCTGTGCCGTTCAGCCTCCTCGTCACGCCGCAGGAGCAGCAGGCCGCCAGACTGCAGGCCCGCCACCACCTTGCCCTCTGACAGCGGCAGCATGGCGCTGACGTGGCGCCCAGAGGGGTCAGCAGCCAGGGGCACCAAGCTGGGCAGCTGGCCTGCCGCCACCGGCTGCGCGCGGAACACGGTCAGCGATGAGAAGAGGTCCAGGGCATACACAGCGCTGCCCCGCACCGCCAGGCTGGTGGGGCAGCCCTCAAAGGCGGTGGGAGCCTGCATGGGAGAGATGCACAGGAGCACGCTGATGCGACACCTGCGCGACACCTGCAACGCCTGCTGCTGCCCACCGGCTGCCACGGGTCCAGAGTGTGTTGCCATGACAGGCGCATGCGGCATGCCTGCAGGAGCAGGGCGGGGCGCGCGCACCTGTGCAACCAGCTGCAGCGCCACATGACCCTGCCACAGCCGGCGGCTGCCATGCGCTGACGCCACGGGGGCGGCGGGGCGACTGGCAGCAGAGCCGGCGGGCCGTTGGTGCGGGCCTGCCGCCACAGAAGCTTCTGCATCCGGCGCCTGCTCCCCTGCCAGGTGCAGAGGTGGCACCGCAACTGTGATGGCTGCCAGGCTGGACTCCAGCGCATGCCGCCTTTCCACCCCCGCATCATCCACATATACTCTGCACACAGGGCTGGCTGGGAGCGGGGCTGGCTGGCAGCAGCAGGCACGGCACACAGGGAGGGCAGGGGCAGCGGCAGCGAGCGGCAGGCTGTGGCAAGCTGTGCACAGCCGTGCCGCAGCTCGCACCTGTACAGGCGCACAGCGCCATCGTCGCACCCGGCAGCCAGCAGCGGTGGCTGGGTGGCAGCCGCCGCTGGCGCTGCCGGCGCGGGCTCGCTGCTGCTCGCGGTGGCGGCGCCGTCTTCTGCTGCCGCTGCGGGCGAGGCGTACAGCGGTTCGGCCTCGGGGTGCACGACTGCCAGGCTGAGGGCAGCAGCGGGCAGGGGGCAGGTGCCGTGCAGGGCGAGTTCCCAGCGTGTGCTGTCGCTGGCGCTACCTTCGCCGCTGCAGGCGGCTCTGGTGGTGCTGCTGTCGCCTGGTGGGGGCGACCTGAACCGCACTTCATACACCGACAGCGAGCCCTGCGGCCGCCAGGGCACGCCATCCTGCTGCCCCTGCTGCCCCTGCTGCCCCTGCTGCTGCTGGCCCTGCTGGCCCTGCTGGCCCTGCTGCCGCCACCACGGCTGGCTTGCATCGCTGTCTGCTGGCAGCGGCAGCCGCTCCTCGCCTGCCGCCGGGCTGCCCTCGCCGCTGCCGTGCGAGGGAGGAGCGGCGCCGCGTTCAGGCGCAGTGGCCACCAGAAGGAACTGTGCGCAGCCCGGCTGCTGCGCCTGCGCCTGCGGCTGGCCGTATGCCGCCGCGCCTGCGCCGGCCTCGCCGCCATGCCCCGAGGCCTGCCGCTGCCAGCCAGAGGAGCAGGGCAGCGGCGCCACCGCCAGCGCGGTGACGGTGTGGCGTGGGGGCAGCGGCACGCGGGCCACCTCCCTCATGGCACCCACATCCACCAGGCGCAGGCTGGAGCCGCCGCCGCGCTCGGAGCAGGCCACGGCCGCGCAGCCGCTGGCGGCGTGGTAGGCGGCAGCGCGCGGCGCCGCCCCGCCACCGAGCGCCGCCTCATCCCACCGCAGCTGCACGCCAGGCTCCAGGCAGCCGATGTGCAGCCGGCCGGCTTGGATGTAGGCCAGGCTGTTGGCCTGCGGCTGGCTGCCAGCGGGCAGCGCACAGGCTGCGGTGAGGCCCTGGCCGCCGTGCACCCTGGCGGCGGCGGGCGAGCGCTCCGGGTGGGGCGCCGCCAGCAGCAGCGCCTGGTCTGACACGGCCAGAATGCCCGGCTGGTGCAGCGCGTGCAGGCTGACGGCGGCCAGGCCGGCCCGCGCCCAGCCGCCCTCCTCCAGCTGCACGCCGCACACGGCGCCAGACGCGTCCAGCCGGGTCACCAGGCGCCACCACACCACCTCCCCGCTGCTGGTGCCAGCCACCAGGTGGCGGCCGCCGCCGCTGCCGCCCAGCTGGCACACAGCCAGGGAGCGCGGCTGGTGGTGGGCCAGGCCGAGCCGGGCGGCGGGCTGCTCAGCAGACAGCGGCTGCAGCACCACCTCATTGCTCATCCACAGCCCCGCCGCCACCCACACCTCGCCGCCAGCGTTGCAACCGCCCTGCCCCGGCTGGAACAGCGCCAGCGCAGACGCCTGCTGCGGCAGGCGCAGGAGGCGCTCCTCTCGCATCTGCCCCGTGCCGCCGCCGCAGTACAGCACCTGTACCTCGCCGCCGTACGCCACCGCGACGTGCTGCCCGCAGGCCGCAGCCAGCGAGATGGCGGCGCCGCTGGGGGGCTGCCAGCACGACTGCAGGGCGCCGGTGGAAAGGCAGAACGTGCGGACGGCCTGCAGGAATGCAGCGGTTGAAAAAGCAGTGGGTGGCGGGTGGCGGTCACAAGCCTTCTAGAAGCGAGCCCAGCCCGGACCTCACCCCGCATCACACCCACATGCATGCACCAGGGCCACGTCCACCCCCCTGCCACTCCCTTCCACCGCCCCCACCTGCGGCGTCACTTGCAGCATGTGCCCTCCTGGCAGGCCGGCGGCCAGCAGCGTGGCCGCCTCCAGATGCAAGCCCGGCAGCACGGCGGCGTGCAGGCCGCCGGCCGTGGCCTCCAGCACCGTGGTCCAGCCGTGGCCGGCGGCGTCGGCGGCGGGGTCCTCAGAAGAAAGCAGCAGGTAGCACCGTGCGGCGGCGGTGCCCGACGCTTGCAAGGCCAGCAGCCGCACCAGGCCCTGCACACACACAGGGAGGCAGGGGAGGCACCGCTGTAGGGTCGATAGCCAGCTGTGGGGGTGCAAGGCAACGCCAAGCGAGGCAACCGAGGAGCAGGCATGCACGCAGTGCAAGCAAGGCAGCCGCTGCGGGAGCAGGCCCCTCACCGGCAGGTGGTCGCCTCCCACTGCCAGCGGCCTGAGGCCCGCCGCCATCCGGCCCAGAGCCAGGCGCCCAAACGGGGCAGTACCGCAGCACATGAGCAGGCGCTTGTCGCCGCAGCCAGAGGGGCAGTCGATGAGCTGGCAGAAGGTGACGGGCGCTGCGCTGGCGGCCAGCCTGTCCACACCGCCGCCAGAGGCAAGCTGCCACGCCGCCGGATCTGCCGCCTCCTGCTGGGCCTCGGCGCTGCCTTCGGCGTCCAGCGCTGCCTCCGGCACCTCCAGAAACACGCTGCCGCCGGTGCTGCCCGCAAACAGGATGCCCGCGGCTGGCGAAGGGGCTTCGTCCACGGCTCGGCCCGCCCCCTCGGCTTCCCCTGCTGCACAGTCTGGGCGCTGCCCTGCCGCCATGAAGGCGAGGCAGGAGGGCGCAGCTGGCAGCAGGCCCCGAGCCACCGGCGCCGTCGACGGGTGCCGCAGATCCAGCAACACCAGCTGGCCCTGGCTGTCGCCCACCACTGCCACATGTCGGGACAGGGCTGCCGCACAGGTGGGCCTGCCAGCCAGCTGCACGGCCACCTGCACCCGCTCCCGCGGCGCGTCCGCCTGCACCAGCAGCAGGCGGCAGGCGGAGGCCACAAGGGTGCGGGCCCCCGGCAGCGCCGCCACGAGCGAGGTGGAGGGGTGGACGTTGCTGCAGGCGGCAGGGCGGGAGCAGGAGGGCGGCGGGGCGGTTCAGGCACCCGGGTGCACGGGTGTGGCCCTGCCCAGCACCACCTGACCCTCATGGCAGCCTCCCCAAATCATGGCCACCTCACCACCCCCTGCAGCCAGCCCAAGCAGTACCGCACCCGATGAACCAGCAGCAGCTGCTCAGCGAGCTGTCCTGCGCCTGCACCTCCAGGCACGCCACATGCCTGACCCGGGCGCCGCCGCCCAGCATGATGCTGCTGTACAGCAGCGTGCAGTGCAGGCTGCCGCCGGGCGCCAGGCAGGCGCTGGCGGGGCCGAGTGCCGCCGACTCCACCACTATGGCAGCGCCTGCAGCGGCGGCGAGAGGAGGGGGCTCCATGCCCGGCTTCACCGGTGCTCACCTGCTGACCGCATTCCGCAAGGGCAAAAAATGCACGCAGACGCCGCCGCCATGCAGGGCTGGCACGCAATCAGAGCGCCGGCCGCCGCCACCTGGCTCGGTAGTCAGCAGGTGGCAGAGGCTGGTCTCTGTGCTGGACAGGCTCCAGTCCCGCTCCCCATGCCGCTCGGCCCTGACGAGGTGCACCGTGCCCTGCCGCAGGCTGGCCGCCAGCATGAGCACCGCACCGCTGCCGCCGCTGCTGCTGCAGCGAGCCACGCTGCTGAAGGCGGGGCGCCACGCCCGCAGCTCGCCGTGCTGCTGCTCGGCCGCCTCCAGCGGGGCGGCGGCGAGCACATCAAAGTGCGTCACGGTGTCCCCAGTGCTGGGGCCCGAGCCGGCGAGTGGCGCGGCAGCCACGAGGGCTATCTGAGGTGGCTCGGCGCCATGGCCCACCCTGCTGCTGCTGACAATCACGAGGAATGCGCCGTCGGTCAAGGGAGCGATATACTCCACCCTGCTGCTGCTGAGGGGGCAGTGGTGCTGCCACCTCTGCTCGACGCCGCTGTCGCCGCTGCCGCCGCCGCAAGCGTAGAAGGATACTGTGGAGTCGGTGGCGACCAGCACGCCCCCCACATCGTCTTGAAATGCCGAGGCCGCCACTACCGGGCCTCCTGCAGGTCGGCACTGGGTGACGAGGAGCATCGTTGAGGAGGTCAACCCTCAGACCTCAAGTGCCTCTCAGTATACTATCACACTATACAGCAATTGATCAGAGTATGGGCCGCAAAGGAACCGAGGGAGTCCAGGGGCCCGTACCTCGCGCGTACCTCCACGCTGGGTAGTTGGGCTTCGTGGCTCCTTGCGCTGCTCCATCCTCCTCGACCCACGATCCATTTCGATGTGCTTCTCTATCTCTGCCATGCCGAGTCCCGCTAGGCCAGCACCCCGCACTGCGTCCACCATGCTGCCCACAAAGGTATAGCCGCGCTTGCGCGCGCCGGCTACCGTTGATCGCTTCCACCACACTGCAAAGCTTGCAGCCAGGCTGCCGCGTTGCACAGCCACCTAACAACGCGGCATTGTTGCCATGCAGGCGCCAACCCCAACCACCAGGCCCACGGTGCAGGCAGAAATGCAGGCCTCCCCCTCTCGCCGGCAACTCCAACCACTGCATCCCAGCAACGAGCAGGCGCAGGGGCCAGACTCGCCCGACGCGCAACCTCGGCCATCAAAGCGGGCGCTCTTCTGACGGCCGACGTCGCCCACCCAACCACTCATCACTTCCCAGTTTTTAACGACCCATGGCCAGCATTCCCTCATGACGCCTACCCAAACATAGCGCCATTGCGCTCCTATCTTCTTTCACCAGTACACCTACCTGTGCATGAGAGACGCCCTCTCCACCCACTACCTCCTCCCAAACTCAACACATGTCTCCTGCTGCTGTTTGCCCTTCACAACCCCTACTTGTCTGCCCTTCCCTGCTCCTGCCTGCGTTCTTCAATTGCTATGTGCCTTGCATGCCCCCCACACCGACCGGCCCACATTGGGTCCCTTGCTAAGCTGCTGCCGCCATTGCGGCCAGCACGCCGTGACAGCCCCGACACACTACCTACCGTCTGCATGACCATTCATACATCCTCGCATAACCCCTCTGCCACCGAATCCTGCCTGCCAATAAGCCAAGTTGCATTGTAAACCAGCCACCCTGTTCTGATGCGACAGAGAGGTGGCGGAGCGGGCATGGCGACCTCTGGAGCCCCCCCCGAGGCCAGGCATCCCACCCAGCTGCAGCTCAGCTCCACGCCTCCACCTGGTACCGCCCCGACAGCTCCATGCGCCGCAGCAGGGCGGCCGCGTCTGCGGGCGCCATGCCGCCCTGCTGCGCCGCCACCTCCTCAAACGCCTGCGCCACCTGCGCCGGCATCTTGTCGGCGCTGCCCGCCACGTACACCCAGGCGCCGTGAGGCTGCTGCTGCAGCAGGCGCCACACCTCGGCCGCGTGCTCCCGGATGCGCTGCTGCACATACACCTTGCGGGGGCCGTCCCGGCTGAAGGCGGTGAGCAGGCCGGCGGGCGGCGGCGCCAGCACCCCCGCCGCCTGCATCGCCTCCCACTCCTCCCGAAAGTAGAAGTCGCCCGCCTGGCTGCGGCAGCCGAAGAACAGCATGCTGGGGGCGGGGAAGGGGGCCTCGCCTGCAGGGCAGGGGGGCAGGCAGGCCCAAGGCAGCGCGGTCGGACAGGCTGCCAGGGCATCAATCAGCAGCGGCAGGCCACGTATGCACGGGTTGGCGGCTCCAGCGCCCCGGGTTCCCCCTCCTCCCCTCCTCCCCTCCTCCCACCTGCGCTCGCCGCCGCCGCCGCCGCCGCCGCCGCCGCCCGCTCCTGCAGGAAAGCGCGGAAGGGGGCCACCCCCGTGCCTGGCCCCACCATGATGAGCGGCGTGGCGGGGGTGGGGGGCAGCCGCAGCGCGCCGCGCTCCGCCCACACAGGCACCAGCACCTCGCCCTGCATGCACGCCAGGCGGGGGGGTGCGCAGCAGGGGGTCGGCACACCCCGGCCGGCATGCGAGCAAGCAGGAGCAGCGCCCCAACCACCACCACTGGCAAAGGCTTCGGCACCAGCTTGCCACCGCCGGCCCCGTGCCAGCCCCTCCGCAACACTCGCACACGCCCCGCCTAAGCCGGCCACCACACCCCACCCCACCACCACCACTCCCCTCCCCCCGCCCCCCAGCCTGCCCTGGGCGCGCCTGCGAGGGGTCCAGCCCCGCCAGCCACGAGGTGCACACCCCGCGGCGGCGGCGCCTGAAGGGCGTGGCCCACTCCACGATCGCCACCGCCAGCTGGGCGCGGGCCGGGTGGGCCGCCAGGCTGGAGGCGATGGAGAAGAGGCGGGGCTGGAGGCGGGGGGCGGCCTGCGGCGGGCAGGCAGGAAGGCAGGCAGGCAGGGCGGGTGGGTGGGAGCAGGCAGCTGGGTGTGGAGGGAGGGGGGAGGGGGTGGTGGCGGTTGCGGTGGCGGTGCGGAGCGGAGCGGCAGCCAGGGGTGCTGAGCAGCGGCCCGCCCCCCGCCTGCCCCCCACCTGCAGCAGCCATTCCAGCGGCGGCTGCGCCGACTTGAAGTCGCCCAGCACCTCCAGCACCGTGCGCCCTGCAGGGGTGCGGGCGGGCGGGGAGGAGTGTGGGCGGGGAGGAGTGTGGGCGGGGAGGAGTGTGGGCGGCAGGCGGGCAAGAAGCAGGCAGGCAGGCAGGCAGGAGGCAGGCAGTAGGCAGGCCACGTAGGCGGGCAGGCAGGCGCCCCACCCTCCCGCTGGTTGTACTCGTACAGCTCGTCCCGCCCCTCTGGAGAGGAGAAGTGGGCCAGGCGCTCCGCCTCCGCCTCCTCACGCACACACTGGCGCAGCACCTGCGGGGAAGGGGCGGGGGGGAGAAGGGCAGCACTGTGGGGGCAGGCAGGACCCAGGGGCGCAGCACCGCAGCGGCGGGCGCCGGCAGCGGCGAGGGCGGCAGCGGGCGATGGATGGGGCGCGGCGGCGGCGGGAGGCGAGGAGGCACCAGGCAAGGCTGGCCCCCCCGGCGAGCGTGAGGCAGGCCTCGCGCCTGGAAGAAGAAGCGGCGGGGGCTGGCGCCGTTGATGTCCATCGCTCCAGCCACCAGCGCGCCCACCCGCACCGTGGCGATCACCCCCGCTGCCGCCGCCGCCTCCGCCGCCGCTGCCGCCGCCACTCCCGCCGCCGCCGCCTCCCTCGGCCTCCTCGCCTGTGGCTGCCGCCGCCGCCGCCGCCGCCGGCTCCACCCGCACCCAGGCCTGAGGGTCCCAGCCGCAGCGGGCCAGCAGCGCGTCTACCGCCGCCGCGGGCTGCTGCGGCACCAGCGCCAGCACATCGCCCGGCTGGTAGGAGATGCCGGAGCAGCCCAGGTCGAATTCCAGCAGGCGCACGTCTTGGAAGTGGGTGGGCGCGGTGATGCGGCGGTTGGAGGCCAGGCGAGACCAGTACGGGCGGTACGGGCCGTACCCGCCGCCGCCGCCGCCGCCGCGCGGCCCGTCCGTCGTGGCTGGCCCCGCTGCGGCGCGGCTGCTGGCGGGCTGCTGCTGCTGCTGCTGCTGCTGCCCTCCTCCATGCTGCTGCTGCTGCTGCTCCAAGCTCACCCCGCTGGCCGCCGCCTCCACCACATCAAACTGGCGGGCCGCAGCCAGCGCTTCCCAGTGTGCGGCGCTGCCGGCTGTGGTGGCGCCGTCCCTGCTGGCCCCGGCAGCGGCATCTGCGGCGGCCGCCGCCGCCGCCGCCTCCTCGCCCGTCAGCCAGGTTACCCTGTACTTGCAGACGAGCTCGGCGGAGGTGTCCCCCAGCGCCGGCTCCGAGGCGCCGGGCGGCAGCGGGAAGCAGGCACGCAGCGCGGGCCACAGCAGCTCCAGCCAGGGATCCAGCGCCGCCTCATACCCGCTGCGATGCTGGTCGTCGCCCAGGCCCAGCTGCAGGCCATGGGTGGGCGGAGAGATGAGGGTCGGGGAGCGACAGGCAAGCTCAGGCGGCGGCGGTGGATCGCAGATGTGCACGCCGGTGCTGCTCCTGCTGGGGTGCGGACTGGGGCGCGCATCCCCGTGGCATGCATGCACCAGTCGCGGCCAGCAGCTCACCGGCAGCAGCATGGCGGCGCCCAGCGCCTCCAGTCGGCGGTACAGCTTCTTGGACACCACATTGTACTTGGGATACCTGGCGGGGAGGAAAGAAGGCAGGAGGGTTTGGCGGGCGGGGAAACTGTTTGGTCTCTGCGTCGGATCAGTGTGCCGGATGCGCGGCCAGCTGCTGAGCCCCTCACCCCGAGTCGCCCAGCCCAAACACCGCCGCCCGAATGCCGCCCAGCGACCCCGGCGGCAGGCTCTTGCGCAGCAGGAACTTCCACAGCTGGCGCATGTTGCTGGGCTGGTCTCCCTGGCCCGTGGTGGAGGCCACAAACACGAGGGCGGGCTCCCCGGGCAGCTGCGCCACACGGGGCAGGTAGGCGTCGGCGGGCAGCACACGCACGGCATAGTACCGGCGCTGCGCCTCCCGCCCAATGCGCTCCGCCACATCCTGCGCAGCACGTGGGGGTGGGGCCCGGGGACACCAAGCAGGATGGAAGTTCGTGCCAAGGTGCCGGCACTGCTACGTAGGACGCGCGGATCGAGACAAAAAGCAGAGAGCGACACACCCAAACGCCAGTTGCATTGCCGCCGGGCGGCGGCGGAGTGCCGGCGGCCTACTCCCGACAGTGTGGGATCACAACGGCACGCTGGCAAGACTCCACACGCACACCTGCGCGTTGCCAGTCTGAGAGGCGTAGAGCACGAGGAGGGACGCGCCTCTGCTTTGAGCGGACATCGAGACAACCGCCCGCAACCTCCCAAGATCTCTGTGGAGAGAGCTATATTCAATTGTGTACGATCGGCGCCGATCCATCGCCATCGCACATTGCCGCCGCCACTCGCCGCCACGCTGGCGGATGTGCTGCTCGCGTCAAGTGCTCTCTCTCTCTCTCTGGAGAGCTCCATACCCACAATGCGCTAGAGAATGAAACTCGGAAAAGCGGAGGTTACCCCAGTAAAGATTGTTTCAAAATGGCCTTGGGGCACCAATCCCGGTGTGCCTCTGCCGCTCCGCCACCGGTGCTATGCACGCGGGTGCAAGAACCAGTTTCCGAAGCCGCCTTCCGCGTGGTTGTGCTCCTCCTCCTTCCCCTGAAATATCACCGGGGGGAAGCCTGCCTTCTTGTACAGGTGTAGTGCCACCGCGTCCGGGGTGGCCACCACTAAGCCGCCGCCGGCGCCAAACTCGCCGTCCCACAGGCGCAGCAGCGCAGCCAACACGCTCTTGCCCAGCCCCTGGCCCTGCACAGCACCACGGCAGGGTGGGCGGGAGGTGAAGGTCTGCCACAGTGCCACCAGGCCAATGCCACACAGCGTGCTTGTAAGTCTCCCGCAGGTGCAAGCCAACACCGGCCCAATGCCCAGCTGCGCAAACCGGCTGCACAAGGCAGCACAAGTGTGCACAAGGCAGCAGCAGCACACCAGCGCCGCCAGCAAGCCCCCCTCCTCCCCTCCCAAACTCACCTGGCATTCAGGGTGCACCGCCATCAGCACCAGCTCGCCGCCCAGCGCCAGCCCCGCCAGCGGCGCTCCCGGGCCCATCAGCTCCGCCGGGGTGTCGCTCATTCTGAGCACCCGCCGCAGGCTGGCCATGCCCCAGAACAGCGGCCACGTCAGGATGCCGGCACGCACCATGTCTAGCGTGCTGTGCTTGCGCGCCGAGGGCACCAGCGCCCCCGCCGCCAGCACCTTGCCTGGGGCGGTGGCGCCAGGGGAGGGCGCGGCACACACCACCAGCACCGGGCACTTGCGCCACAGCAGCAGGCACGCCCGCCGCTCGAACAGCCACTGCAGGGCGCCCGGCGGGGCGGGTTTGGCCGCTGAGCCGGAGAAGATGAAGCGGTAGGCTGGGTTGTCAGCAAACGCGGCTGCGTACATGGCTGCCAGGGAGGGGATGTCGGCTGGGGTGGCGGGCCGCAGGTCGTACCCGCCGCCTGCTGGGGGCAAGGAGGAGCGAAGGAGGGACCATACCGCACCATGGAGTGTCAGTCCGGCTTGCACAGGCTGCTGTAGGAAGCGGCTGGGGATGAGGGCAGAAACAGAGCACAGGATGGGGCTGGAGCCAGCGGCATGGCGCACCCAGGTGGGTGCCGGGCCCTGGCTCTGGGTCGGGCATGGCGTTGCCCGGGTAGCGGTGCCGGGGGAAGTGTGGTCAATTCAACTTGTGGTGGCGGGGATGCAGTTGGTTGAACTGCCTGGGTGCCCCTGAAAGGAAACTGACACAGCGCACGGCGGGGCGTCACGCGGGGGCGGCACGCGGTGTGGGCTGAAGCTGCTGCGGAGCTGTGGGACAGGCTCACGGCGTGCATAGGCCGCTTGGGTGGACGCAGCACCTATAGTGTTCGTACCACTCGCCTGAATTGCTCGTGAACGTTGTATTTATTGAAGGGAGCAAGCTTGCAATCAGCTGAAACAATGATTGTGCATTCATGGCGAGCGAGAGATGGTGATTGATGAGCATTGGGTCAGGTAAAGAGTCAGAGAGTGGCGCAGCAAGCAACAGCATGGTGCCACCTGGGCAGAGCCTTGAAGGGCCCAAGTGGGATGATCTCGCAAGGGCAGGCAGGTACATTTAATCAGGCAGCCGCAGGCACAGCTGTTGGGTGCCCCAACCACAATCACGCAGGCTGCGCTGTTGCCTCAGGAGGCAGGCTGCGCTGTTGCCGCACGTTAGCGATCGTGATGCAGCGTATCACACAGGTGCCGTTGCCTGGCCGCTAACCCAGCAGCACCGCCCGCCAGCAGGGCGACGCCGTCCGCCAGCGCACCCCCGCCCATCTTCCTGCAGCGCCCCGCCCACCAGCCCACCCCAGCCTCGGCATGGACGACTTTGTGCGCTGCGCCGCGCTGCTGGCGTCGCCCGCCACGGATCCGGCGCTGCGGGCGCAGGCCGACGCCTGGCTGGCGGCCTTCCGCCTGGAGCCCGCGGCGTGGGCGGCTGCGCTGGGCGTGCTGCGCAGCGCTGGCGTGCCTCCCGAGGTCCGCCTGCAGGCCGCCTCCCTGCTGGCGTGGAAGGTAAAGAGGCAGCTGGGGCAGCTGCAGCCCGTGGAGCGGCAGGCGGAGCTGGCTGAGGCGCTGGCGGGGCTGGCGGAGGCGGCGCCGGCGCCGCCGCCCGGCCAGGCGCGCGACCCGGCTGTGCGCTGCGTGTGCGTGGCTCTGGCCAACCTGGCCATCCAGTGCAGCGGCTGGGTGCGCCCGCTGGACACCCTGGGTGAGCGCGGGTGCAGGGGTGCAGGGGTGATGCAGGGTCGAGCCAGCGTGCGTGCCTCCCTGCCTGCCTGCCTGCTCGTGCACATGCATGCGCTTGAAGCCAGCCTGCCTGCCCTCCTGCGTGGGTGGCTACAGGCCCGCGGCTGAGCCGGGAGCGCATGCTTGAGTTCCTCACGCTGCTGCCACAAGAGTGCGAGGATGCGGCGGCGGCGGCGCAGGCGGCGTCTGCTGAGGTGGCGTGGGGCCTCAAGGCGCGAGCCCACAAGTGGAGCCCCGAGGTCGCCGCCTGGCTGCACGCCCTGCACAGCAGCAGCGGCGCCGCCGCCGCCGCCAGCCCAGGGGCCGCCCAGGGACCGCCCAGCCCGCACCAGCACTCCCCCGCGGCGGCGCAGCAGCGGGAGGAGTGGGAGGCGCTCACGCTGGCCGTGCTGGGCTGCTTCGGCGCGGTGAGTGCCCAGCCGCCAGGCTCCACTCCGCCCAGCCGCGCAGAGTCCTGCCCTGCGCTCCGACCCTGGCACCGTCACTGCCGCACCCTCACGACCGCCCTTCGGCCTCCCGTTCCCGCTACATGCTGCCTGCCTGCGCTGCAGTGGGTCAAGTGGGGCTGCCTGCAGTATGTGGCCCCCCACCATGCCGCCTACTTTGCCTCCCTGGCCGGGGAGCTGCTGTTTGCCGGCGACCCCGCCCGCGGCCTGCCCTTCAGCCCCACCTGCCTGCCCGCGGCGGTGGATGCGGCCAGCGAAATCATCGAGCATGCCACAGAGGAGCTGCAGCCGCTGCTGGTGCAGCTGGCGGCGGCGCTGCCGGCGCGCGCGGCGGCTCTGGCTGCCGCCGGCGGCGGGGCGGCTGCCGAGGAGCTGAGCCACGTCTTCTCCCTGTTTGTGGGCACCCACGCGCCGCTGTGCGCGGCGTCTGGGCCGCAGGGGCGGGCGCTGCGCCAGGTGTGCCTGCTGGGTGCACGCGTGGCAGCAGGGTGGCGTGCTGCTCGTGTGCTGCTGCCAGGCAGGCACGGCAAGGGTGGGTGGCCGCCGCTGCACGGCCTCTCACCTGGCTGGCTCCGCAGGCCCGCCGCACCACCACACCTACTACCCGCCCCTGTGCTCCCCGCCTTTGCAGGGCCTGCTGCAGCTGCTGGCGCTGCCCGTCGAGCCAGGCGGCGACGGCGGCGGCGCCGCGCTGCCCGCCATGGGTGCCCTGTCAGACCTGCTGGAGCAGCTGGCGGCGGCGCGGGGGCGGCACGGCGGCGGCGGGGCGTGGGGCGAGGGCGCTGGGGAGGCCGGGGACGCCGCCGGCGGCAGCCTGGATGGCGCCGACAGGTGGGCCCCGCGCCGCTGCTCAATGGTGGCGTGCGTGCGGTGGGGGCTGTGCTTGGGGCTGGTGGGGTGCAGGGCTGGCTGTGCCGCCGCAGGCGCCTGCGTCCCCGTGGCAGGCTGCAGCGCCCCGGCGATGGCCCCTCCTGCCTCCAACCCCTTTTGCCGCAGGCCCATGGGCCCCCAGGAGCAGGCCTGCTTTGCTGCCTCTGCGCTGGAGGTTCTGCTGGCGCAGGTGGCGCCGCACGCGGCAGCCTTCCAGTCGCCGCCGCCGGCAGGGGCGGGCGGCACGGCGCCGGCGCAGCGCGGCACGCACAGCCCCGAGGGCGTGCCTCACGCGTTGCGCGGCGAGGCGGGTGGGTGGGCAGCCCGTGCAGTGCAGGCGCTGCAGTGCAGGCGCCCGCCACTGCGCGGGGCGTCTGCTTGCGCCCCGCGTGCATGCATGATGCTGCCAGCCGCGCGGCACCCCTATCACTCCTCGCTCCGTTCAGCCTCGGCGCCTGCCCCGGCTCTGCCTGCCCTGGTCTGCCGTGCCGCGCCCTGCCCACCCGCGCACTCGCCCTGCCCACCTCCCGCCCACCTCCGCCGCCGCAGCCGCCGTGGTTGATGTGCTGGGCGACCTGCTGGGCGCTGACGTGGCGCTGACGGCGCTGGCTGCGCATGCCGAGACAGCGGCGGCGCGCCACGGCCCCGCCAGCCTGCCCGCCCAGGCCGCCTTGGACGCCTGCCTGCACGTTTTGGACGGCATGAGCGGGCTGCTGGACACGAGCTGTGCAGAACGCGGCGCGGGGGACCCGCCGCCTGGCTGGCTGGCAGGTGGGGCACCGCCGCCGTTGTGCTGATGCTGGCCGCAAGGCTGCATCCCTGGCAAGGCTGGGCGGCAGGCCCGCCGCCGCGGCGAGCCTGGCGGCTCCCTGCCCTGCACATCTCCTGATCCCCGCCTTGCTCACTGCAGCTGCCTGCCCCCTACCTGCAGGCTTGCTGCGCCTGTATGCTCTGGTGCCCGAGGCAGGCGGCAGCAGCGGGGCCCCCCTCACCATCCTCCACGCCGACCTGCTGGCCAGCTGGGCATCGCTGGGCCGCCTCGTCATGCCTCTGCTGCAGGCCTCGCACCAGCACCAGCAGCAGGAGGTGCGGCGCCAGGGGGGCGCCGCGGGGTGGCACGCGGGGCTGGCATAGGCTGGGAGCAAGGGCTTGTCCAGCCATCCCCCTGCCCACCCGGCACGCCAGCGCCCCTCTGCCACCGCCATGCCGCAGGCGGTGCTTCAGCTGGTGGTGGGCCAGTCGCTGCGCGCGCTTTCCAGCCAGCACAGGACGGCCGACGTGGCGCCGGGCAGCACCGAGGATGTGGTGGAGCGCGGCGCCGCGGCGCTGCGCACGCTGTGCAGGTGCGCACAGCGGGCGGCGGCGCGGCCTATGCCAGCCGGCGGCCAGCCCTTGTCACCCAGAGTGTGCTGACTAGAGGGTTGGTTTGCCTCGCGGGTCTCAATCATCCACCCGCCTGCCTGCTTGGCCGCCCTCGCCCCTGCCTCCCGCGCCCCGCAGCTCCGCCGCTGCCTGCGGCATGCCCACCACGCCTCAGCTGCTGGCGGCGGTGCAGCAGGGCATGGCGGCGCTGCAGGCGTCTCCACAGTACCAGCAGTACCAGGAGGCACATTGCCACTTGGTGGCGGGCCTGGTGCATGCACTGCACGGTATCCCACCCGGCGACCGCCAGCTGCAGGCCCAGGCGGAAGCTGCGGTACGCCAGCACGTGCTGGAGCCTCTGGCGGCGGCGCTGGGGGAGGCAGGGGCCGCGCTGGCAGCATCGCCGGGCCCCCAGCACCTGCAGCAGCTGCGCGGCGCGCTGTGGCGCCTGCACGCCCGCCTGCGCCAGCTCCAGGCCCTGCTCAACTCCCTAGAATCCTATGAGGAGGGCGACGGCGGCAGCCTGAGGGGCGCGGAAGTTTCGCTGGGCGTGAGGCAGGCAGCACTGGCCACGCTGCTGGCCTGCTGGCCGCGGCTGGGCGAGGTGTGCCGGTGGCAGAGGCAGGCGGCGGCGGCGGCGGCGGCGGCGCCAGCTGGCGCCAGCCTGGCGTCCGTGCGGCGAGAGCTGCTCCAGGAGGTGGCGCACTGCCTGTCCAGTGCCATGGCTCTCGACCCGGCAGCCTTCCAGCAGGCGCTGCCGTCCTTTGCAGAGACCGCCGCCGCCTGCTGCTTTCAGCCGGGTGAGGCGCCCGCTGGGGCGGTGTGCTGGCGGCGGGGCGGTCGCGCTGCCGCTGCTGCCGCCGGGCAGGTTGCCGCTCCTCTTCGGCTCTGGTATCGCTGCCACCGCTGCCCTGCCTGCTTGCTGAGCGAGGCTGCTGTCGCCCAACTGCATCCCGCCACCCTGGCCCCGACGACGCAGGTGGCGGCGCGCTGCTGCGTCATCTGCAGCAGGCTGTGGAGGCGTACGGCCCCCTGCCGCACCTCCAGCCGCCGCTGCTGGGCACCGTGCGGGCCATGCTGGGGGCGCCGCAGGCGCGCGCGCTGGCGGCGTTGCGTGGCGGCGACGCCGACCCCGAGGCCACCCAGGCGCTGCTGTCCCTGCTGGGGTGCTGCATGCGGCAGGCAGCCCAGTGGCGGCAGCTGGCTCCCGGCGCGGGGGCAGAGGTGGAGGCGGTGCTGAGCCTGGGGCTGCCGCTGGCGGCAGCCAACGCGGCGTGCCACCACCGCGACGCCTCCCACGCGGCGCTGGGCGCGCTGACCGCGCTGCTGGCGCTGCTGCTTGACCGGCGCAGCCCGCTGCACGGCGCGCTGCTGGGCTTTGCGCGGCGGCAGGGGGCGCTGCTGGTGCAGGGGCTGCTGCTGGCGCTGCTCTCCCTCAACTCCGCTTCGCACCTGCCCAAGGTGTGTGTGTGTGTGTGTGTGTGTGTGTGTGTGTGTGTGTGCGCTCGCGCTGCTGGCATGCATACCAACTCTCTGCATGCCTCGCTCCCCTGCTCGAGCTGCTGCCGCCCGCGCCCCGGCCCACGGCAGCAGACGCCCAGCTGCCTCCCGCCCCCGCCGCTGCCTGCCGCCGCCACAGGTGGTGAGCCTGATGAGCGACATGGCGCTGCTGGCGGCTTCCCTGGCCATCGCACAGCAGCAGCAGCAGCAGCAGCAGCAGGGCGGCGGCGCCCCCACCGCAGAATCGGTCTGCTCAGCGGCGGGCAGCCAGCTGGGGTGCTGGCTGGGCGAGGCGCGCGCGGCTGTGACCCAGAGCGGCGCTCTGTCAGAGGAAGCCATGGCGGCGCTGCTGGCGCAGTGGCAGTGGCAGCCGGTGCTGCAGCAGGCGGCGGCGCAGCTGACGCAGCAGCGGGGCGTGGGCGGGGCCAACGGCGGCGGCGCCAGCATGGCGGAAGTGCGGCGCGGCATGCAGCGCTCGCTGCGCCAGCTGGCAGACCTGATGCGGCGCAGCGGCGGCCAGTACCCGCAGCAGGGGGTGCCTCTGTGCTGAATTCGCAATGCCAGCGGTGTGCACTGCTGGCCGGACGGTTGTAAGTGAGGTCGCTCTCCCTCCCATCCGCTTCCTACCTCTACCCGGGTAGCTCTGGTACCGCCGAGCGCGTGTCCCTTACAGCGCAACGTTTCAGCGGTGCCATGTGTGCCATCCAGCCGCCGCTCTGCTCACAGGGCCACTCCCGCCAGGTCAGCATCCCCCGCAACGTCCGCAGCCGACACCGCCCCCAGCGCCAGCAGCTGGCGCAGCGCTGCCGCCGCCTGCGCGTGCCGCCCGCACCGCGCCTGGCAGCAGGCCAGGTTGTACCGCACATCGCACCGCTCCTGGAAGTCAAAGGCGGCGGCCTGCTGCAGCGCGGCGCCGTATGCCGCCTCTGCCGCCGCCCAGTGGCCCGCCGCCGCCTCCGCCTGCCCTGCCGCGGTTGCCAGGCGGGCCAGCTGCACCTCCACATCCGCCACCCCCACCGCCGCCTCTGGGCTCTGCGCACGGATGCGCTGCGCCGCGTGGTAGCCCTCGCCGAGCGCACGCTGCAGGCTGGCGGCGGCGCCCTGCAGGTCGCCGCCCGCCGCCAGCTGCTCGCCCCGCTCCAGCAGCACGTCGCCCAGGGCCAGCAGCGGCTCGTGGGAGCCGCGCAGGAAGTCGGCGCTCTGCTGCAGGCGCCGCTCCGCCTCGCCCAGCAGCGCCAGCGCCAGCGCAGGATCCTGCACCCCGGGGCAGGGGGGCGGGGCAGGCTGTGGGGAGGCCAGGAGGAGGCAGGCACACTCCTGCACACACATGGGCTGGGACGGCAGGCTCGCTGCGCTCGGGAGCCTGCGCCCGCTGTAGCAGACCAGAGCAGGCACAGCATGCCCAGCGCGGGCCCCACCCCACCCCACCTGCGCCTGCTGCGCCATGGCCAGCAGCCCGCGCGCCCAGTTGAGCAGCAGGCCGGGCACGTCGTCGCCGTCTGCGGCATCAGACAGGCTGCAGGCCCGCTGGTACGCCTGCACGCGCGCAGCCAGGCGCCAGCAGGCGTGCTTGGCATTAACCACCCCCTGCGTGGGCGGGACCAAGCGTTTCCCCACCACGCCAGCACAGAGAACAGCCCATACCCCCCAGCCAGCTTCACCCCATCAGCCCACACCCCACCTGCATCGCCTCCTGGAACAGCGCCCCGCCCTGCTGCCCCTGCCCCGCCTCGCAGCACAGGCTGGCGCGTTGCACCAGCGCATCCGCCAGGTTAGACCAGCTCAGCGCATCCTCCTCCCGCTGCAGCGCCGCCTGGTACGCCTCGCCGGCCTGGCACAGCAGGGAGATGGCGTGCGCCGGGTCCCGCCGCGCCGCAATCTCCGCCCATGTGCTGCGGGGTGGGGCAGGGGGGCTGGGGAATGGGGCCGTGAGTGTGGCCAGTTGAGGGTCGGGTGAGCAGGCTGGGACGCCTTCCGCTTGGCTACCGGCGGCCACCCGGCGCCGCCTCACCTCAGCGCATTCCCGGCGCACACCAGCGCATCTGCCCGCGTCTGCCCGCCCTCCACCACGCGCCGGAACGTCGCCACCGCCTCCTGCAGCGCCGGCGACGCCTGGGCATCCGCCTGCTGCACCGCCTCTGCCGTCAGCACCTCGTCGGGGAGCTGAGCGCAGGCCGCCACCACCGCCTCCGCTCCCTCCTGCAAGCTCTCCGCCAGGCCAAACAAGGCTGCGGCATGGTCTGCCGCGGGCGGGGCCTGGCCGCTGCCTGCCGCCGCCAGCGCCTCCCGGTACTTGGCCTGCAGATGAGGGCACCACGGTTGCAAGAGGGTTCCGTGGCTGGCCATAGAGCCTGCCCAGACGGCCCCTTGAGCTCAGGGACAGGGGCAGCAGTTGAGCATTGGCGGCATGCCGTAGCGCGCACCACGGCTTGGGCAAAAACCGATGCAGCCTCCGAGCCACGCTTCCTCTCAGCCCGCTGCTGCAGCTGTTCAGCCGCTTTGAGCAGCGATGGAAACGACATAGGGGTTGCACGCTTCTTAAGGACACTGCCTGAGATATGTGAAGAAGAAGAATGACACGCTAGGGATGCCAAGTAACGGGCTCGCCAGTAACTCTGTGGGAGCCGCCGCTGAGTTGGCAGCGGCGACGGCACTGCCGCAGCGGCAGGGTGGCGGCAGCAGGGATGGCAGGGTTACAGAAGCAAAGGCATGGAACGGAAGCCTCAGGGAAGCCTAACCAGACAGGACGGAGCAGGCTGACGGGGGCGTGAAGCGCAAGGAGAAGTACAACAGAGGGGCATGGCGAAAACTGGGAACATGCGCAGGCCATCACAGGGTTTGCAAGTACAGAGGGCAGGGTCGTGAGGAATTGATTCAGAAGGATCTGTTTGGCTGCACGGCCAAGTAGGCGTCGCAGCCGTGGGCGCGAGCTGCGCGGTCTTTCGTTCGCTGCGCGGTCAGCCCATGCTGCCGCCAGCGCCGCCGCCGGCGCTGAACCCGTAGGTGCGGAGCAGCCTGATCTGGGCCAGGGCAAACACGGCCTTGACGATGCGCGACCAGTCGGTGCCCACCGACACGTAGAGCAGCTCCAGCGCGGTGCTGGCCCACACAATGGGGCCCAGCACGCCCAGCAGGGAGCGGGCGGCGGCGTAGCGCCCCGCGGCCGCCGTGATGCCCTCCTTGGCCGCCTGCAACGCATGCAGGGGGTGCGGGGCTGCGTGAGTGCGTGAGTGCAAGAGGCGCGCAGGCATAGGCGCGCGCTGCATGATGCATGCTGGGTGCACGACGGGGTGCATGCGCAGCCTCCCCGCCACCCACCTGCACCGCCACCTTGCCCTGCAGGCTGCCCTGCACGCCCTTGGTGCCCGCGCTGAGCGCAAAGTGCAGGGCTGCCTCGTACTGGACGTGGGAGCAGGCCAGCTTGAGGCCCAGCTTCTGCACCACCGCGACCTGCAGGTTGCTGACCGCCAGCGCGCTGCCCAGCCGCGCCACCGCCGGCATCACCTCCTCCTGCCCCAGCCGCAGCGGCGCCAGCAGGCGCTGGACCAAGGTGGGCGCCTCCTGGCGGGGCGCGGCCCCCGCGCCGCCGTCCCCCTGGCTGGCATACTCGGCTGCGGCCTGGGTGCGGGGCGCCCCCGGCGCGGCCGCCGCCCCCACCGCGTCTGCGTGCTGGCTGAGCAGGTGCAGGAACACCTCCGCCTCCAGCTCGTTTGTCAGCAGGGTGGGGGAGCAGGCGATGCCCAGCTTGTCGCGGATCATGAGCAGCACCTGGCGGTAGGCGGGCCAGCGGCCGCGCAGCGTGGACGCCGAGTCGGCGGCCAGGAAGCGCAGGCGGCGGTCGATGGTGGGGATGAGGGCGTCGCGGCCGCTGGGCGCCGCGCCCTCGCCGCCGCCCTCAGACTCCGCCATGACCATCAGGCTCTTGAGCAGCGGGGAGAAGAGGCTGCGTCCGTGCAGGGTGCGGTACAAGTCCTCCAGCTCCTCGTCCGTGGCCAGCTCCAGCACCTCGAGCAGGTCGGGGTCGGCAGACGGGCGCGGCGCGATGCGCGGCCTGCGGGAACGACAGGGAGCAGGCGGAGGCCAGTAATCCACCCGCGCAGTGCGTGCTGCACTCTCCATGTTGTTGCTGTAACCAGACCGTGAGCCTCCAAAGCCGTCCCGCTTGCAGCACACTGATGCCGTCGGCGAGCTGTTGAGCGGCACCGCCGGCGGGAGCGGGAGCGGAAGCGGGAGCGCGGCTGGGGTGCGCACAGGACGACAGCGGGCCGGCCGCCGCTGTGCATCCTTCGTGTGATTCCACAGTTGGGCTGCAGCGCCATTGGCAGCGACTCAAAGCGATCCTGCGCCCTTCCACACGCACCTGAGAGAGATGGGCCGCTCGAGCGGCTCCCAGCTGCTGTCATCCTGCTGGAGGGCTCTTGATGCCTGCACCAGACATTTTCTGCAGCAGGGACGAGCTGCGAGCAGAGGGCGCGCCAGGGAAGCCCTGACCAGAGGGGCGTGGCATACCACAGCAACTGTGGCCATCCTTGTGAAGCCCGCCAGCCAACAATGGGCACGCAATGGGGCATGCCTGCCTGTCCAAGCAAAGAGGGCGGCCGCCGCCAGCGGGACGCGGCGTACTGACTTCCATTTTGGGGTGAACTGAAGTGCTGCGGCCCTGGTGTCTAGTCAGTGATCAGGATGTGCGCAAGTTTGTGTTTTGATTCCCCACTGCCCTTGCAGTCCTGCCTTCTGCGGACGTTACTTTACAGCAAGGAATAGGAACGGCAACGATGGTATGGTGCGATGGTGGAAGGTGCATTTGGTTGCAGCAGGCCGGGGCGCTCAGCGCCTGGCGGCCCCGCCGCCTTCACCTGGCCATGGGGTTGGAGCTGATGTAGCTGATGGCGTCGCCGCAGCTCTGAATCTTGTCCGCCTCGCTGTCGGGGATCTCAATGGCAAACTCCTCCTCCAGCGCCATCACAAGCTCCACAGTGTCCAGGCTGTCCAGGCCCAAGTCCTTCTGAAATGCCGCGGTGGGGCTGACCTGCAGGCAGAGCAGCGGCAGGCGTGGTGCACGAGGTGAGCGGGCAGTCCAGGGCGGCGCGAGGCTTCAGCAGCACGGCAACCTGACGCTTGCGCTGCCTGCAACGCCAGTGCATACCAGAACGCTGCTTCCCGCCAACTGCATGCACATTGCCCGCATGCACATTGCCCAAACCGCGAGTGCTGCCGCCCGCCCCGCCGCCCGCCCCGCATGCCGTGGTGGTGAACCTAAGCCACCAGGAGCGCCCGTGCGGCCGCGGCCGGCCAGAAAGCTCCTCAGCGTCCCTGGCAGCGACGCACAGCGCACCTTGCCCTCTTCCACCTTCTCAAAGTTCTTCACCACGCCCAGCACCCGGTCCGTCACGTCCTTCTTATCCAGATACGAGGCATCGCCGAAGCCTCGCCAGAATTGGAGAGACGCGGGGGCTGCTGCCTGCTGCGCCAGAGGATTGGCGGGCACCCGCACTGTGGCGAGCACGGCCTGCCTCAGGGACCGCAGCAGGGCCATGGCGGCGTGTGAGAGGGAGAGGAGAGGTGCGGGCGGGTCGGCGATCGCGCTGGGGGCGCCAGGAGAGGGCCCCAAAGGCCGAAGGGCTTGCAAGAAAGTTTTCTTCGCTGATGGCCTCCCCCGTGGGGTTCTGCCCGCTGTCTGGCACTGAACAGCATCCCAGCGGCCCTCCACCGCCTGGCCAGCTGCCCCCGAGGCCCCTGCAACAGCCGCTTGAAAACAACCGCCCTGCGACGGGGGTGTATGCCGCGGGCAGCCATCTGCTGAGGACGCACGTGCAGAGCGCCGGCAGCTAACGGCCATGGGGAGGGGAGCGGCGCTGTGGGCAGTGGCCATCCTGGCACTGCTGGCTTGCCCAGCTGCAGCAAAGGATCGCAAATACAAGCAGGGCCAGGAGGTCTCCATCTGGGCCAACAAGGGTGAGCGGAGGCGGGCGGCCAGGGCTGTGTTGCCGCGCGCCGTGTGCGCAGATCACACGGCGTCGGGTGGAGGCGGGGGTGCCACTTGCTCTCAGTCGCTGACCCCTGTGCTGCCTGCATGCCCGCATGCGCCCTGCTCCTGCAGTTGGACCATTTGCCAACCCCACGTGAGTGCCACTGGCAGGGCAGCCTGCTGGAGCGGCTTGCCTCGGCCCATCACTGGGCCCGGGCCGTTGCTGCTGCATCGCCTGCATTGTTGCCACTGCCGCAGCTTGTGGGGTCTACGCATTGCATTGGTTGCCACTTGTACGCCCAGCCCCAGTTGTGTGCTTGTGTTGCCCCGGTCCTGCCACCCCCCCCGCAGCGAGACGTACCAGTACTTCAACCTGCCCTTCTGCCACCCCAAGGAGGGCAAGGAGTACAAGACGGAGGGCCTGGGGGAAGTGCTGGAGGGAGACCGCCTCGTCAGCACGCCCTACAAGCTCAAGTGAGCGCCGCGGCGGCTGGGAGGCGGGTGGCTCTGCCAGGGTGGCAAGCACCGGGTGCAACCGATGCGATCACCACTGTCAAGCGGCGAGCCAATCTGCTGGCGCTTAGCAGCAACACCGATCCCCGACCACGCAGCACTCTGGTCTCCCCGGCCACTGCTGCCCGCTGCCTCTCCACCCCGCTGCCCCTGCCCGCCCTGGCCCCTGCAGGTTCAAGGAGGACAAGGAGAATGCCGTGCTGTGCACTCAGAACCTGGACAGCGACGACCTGGACCAGTTCCGGGACGCCGTGGCCGAGGACTACTACTTCCAGGTGGAGTGGTGGCCTGGGAGGAGGGGTTGGGGAGGTGGCTGGAGTGGGCAGCAGTGTGTGGGTCCATCCCGCCGCGCCTGTGGTGTGTGCACGTGCGCGCCGAGAGCTGTGCCCCCCTCCCCTGCCGCCGCTGCCTGGAGCAGATGTTCATCGACAGCCTGCCCATCTGGGGCTTCATCGGCAAGGTGGAGAAGCTGCCCGGGGGCGAGGAGGGCAAGGAGGGTGAGGGGGAGGAGGGGCGGGAGAAGCTGAGCCTGTTCACGCACATCCACTTTGATGTGCTGTACAACAAGGACCGAGTCATCCAGGTGGACATCTCCACAGGTGGGCGGGGCGGGCGCCGGGGCTGGGGCACTGGGTGCGGCAGCGGGCAGGCCGAGCAGCTGTGGGGCGAGCCTGCATGGCCTGGGTGGAGGTGCCGCACGCTGTGCCTGCCGTGCACCCTGCGCCGCGCCCTGCATCTCTCCGTCTGACTCACACGCGCGCATGCACAGCGGCCCCCTGCGTCTGACTCATACCCGTGTGCACCAGCGGCCCCCAGCACCCCCCGAGCACCCCCCAGCACCCCCACCCCCCTGCAGACCCCTCCAAGACTGTGGACATCACCAGCGCCGACAAGGCGGAGGTTGAGTTCACGTACAGTGTGAGCTGGAAGGAGACAGACATTGCGTACGAGCGGCGCATGGACAAGTACGCCAAGTACTCCTTCCTGCCGCAGCACCTGGAGGTGGGCCGGCTGGGGGGCTGCTGGGGGGCTGGGGCTGAGGGGTGGTGCAGCTAGGGCGGTGTGAGGCCTGCCGGTGCGCCAGGGGGGCATCACGGGCTGCCAGCTGAAGCCCAGCCCGTCCGGCCTGCTGGCCACGGCCCTGCCAGCATGCTGTGCCTCTGCCGCCCCCCACCACCAGCACCACCCCCACCCCCACCCACCCCCACCCGCAGATCCACTGGTTCTCCATCGTCAACAGCTGCGTCACGGTGCTGCTGCTGACCGGCTTCCTGGCCACCATCCTCATGCGCGTGCTCAAGAACGACTTCATCAAGTACACAAACGTGCGGGACGACGAGGCGCTGGAGGATGCGGAGGAGACGGGGTGGAAGGTGCGGGGTGGGACGGGATGTTGGTGGTCGATGCACCGCCATGGCGCAGCGCTGGCCCCTCCCCTCCACCTGTGGCAGCATGGGCAGCGGTGCTTGGGCAGCCTGCCGCGCCCCGCTCACCGCCTCCCCCGCCTCCCCCGCCTCCCGCCCCGCCCGCCCGCAGCTGGTGCACGGCGACGTCTTCCGCTTCCCGCCCCACCTCAACCTGTTTTGCGCGGTGGTGGGCACGGGCACCCAGATCCTGGTCATGGCGCTGCTCATCTTTGGCATGTCCCTGCTGGGCACCTACTACCCCTACAACGGCGGCGCCATGCTCACCTCGGTGGTCGTCTTCTACGCGCTCACGGCGGGCATCGCGGGATACGTTTCGGCGGCGCTGTATAAGATCATGGGGGGTGAGGCGCGCAGCGGGGGCGGGGGGCCGGGGCAGGGGCTGTGCATGTGGCGCCATCGCGGGGCACGGCACGGGCGGCCCGGCCCCTCCCGCACCCCCTCCCGCCTCGCCCCGCCTGCCCACCTGCTGCGCACCGCACCGCCCGCCCGCCCGCCCGCGCAGGCACCAACTGGGTGCGCAACGTGCTGACCACCACGCTGCTGTTCTGCGGCCCCCTGCTGGCCATGTTCTCCTACCTCAACACCGTGGCCTGGGTGTACGGCACCACGGCGGCGCTGCCCTTTGGCACCATCGTCATCATCGTCGTCATCTGGGCCCTCGTCACCTTCCCGCTCACCGTGGTGGGAGGCATCATGGGCAAGAACACAAAGGTGCGGGCGCTGGGGGTGGGCGCCAGCTGCGGGAGTATCCCGCACGCCCGCACGCCCGCCAGCCTGGCCGTGGGCCGCGCCTGCTGCCTCATCTCACCCTGCCCTCACCCCTGCCGGCCTCGCCATCCCCCCACACACTCACCCATGCTGCGCCAGGCTGAGTTCAACGCTCCGTGCCGTACTACCAAGTACCCGCGCGAGATCCCGCCGCTGCCTTGGTACCGCCAGACGGTGCCGCAGATGCTCATGGCCGGCTTCCTGCCCTTCTCAGCCATCTACATCGAGCTCTGTGAGCCGCCGCGCCGCCTCGCCTTGTTGGCCTGCTGGGTGGGCGCCGCTCGCTGCTGGCGGGGCTGGCGGTTCGGCCCGGCCAACCATCCGCGGCGTCTGCCTCACCCTGCGTTGCGCGCCTCCCCGGTTGCCCCCCCCGCCTCCCCGCAGACTACATCTTTGCCAGCGTGTGGGGCCACAAGGTGTACACCATCTACTCCATCCTCTTCATCGTCTTCATCATCCTCATCATCGTCACCGCCTTCATCACCATCGCGCTCACCTACTTCCAGCTGGCGGTGGAGGACCACAGGTGGGCCGCTTGTGCGGGAGGACCACATGTTTATAGGGGCAACAGGCAGGACAGCAGCCGACGTCCCCCCCTGCCCTCCTCACCAGCCTGCTCCTGCTGCCCGCCGCCCCGTCCCCGCCTGCAGCTGGTGGTGGCGTAGCGTCATGTGCGGCGGCAGCACGGCACTCTTCATTTATGGTGCGGCCGCGCGTCGTGGCGGGCTGCTGTGCTGCTCGCTTTGGTCATGGGCGAAGCCCCTGCTGACTGCCTGCACCCGCCCCGGCCCCTGCCCCCCCTGCCTGCAGCATACTGCTTCTACTACTGGTATGCGCGATCAGACATGAACGGTGGGTGACCCGCCACCGCCGCTGTTGCCACCGCCGCCCCCGCGTGACGGCTGGGTGACCAGCGCTTGCAGCGGCCGCCGCCGAGCCTCCCCGTGTCTGGGAGTGCATGTGACGTGGCGACACCCCCCCCCCCGCCTGCGCCCTGCTGCAGGCCTGATGCAGGCCTCCTTCTACTTTGGCTACATGCTGATGGTCTGCTACGGTGCGGGGGCCGCCGCGCCGCCGCTCCCCTCACCTGGCCATGGCCTGCCGCGGCCCTGCCAGGCCTCACACCCCTCCCCTCCCCCCCCTCCCCCCGCCCGCAGGCTTCTTCCTGATGCTGGGGTCTGTGGGCTTCCGCGCCAGCTTGGGCTTTGTGCGGCACATCTACAAGGTAGGGGCTGAGGGCGGGGGTGGGTGGGCCGCTCGACCGTGTGGGCATGTTTGGCAGCCAGCACCAGGAGCAGGTGGTGGCCCGCGCGTGTGGTGCCCCCGCCACACACACTCGCACCCGATGCCTGCCTGCTTGCAGGCCATCAAGTGCGAATGAGCACCACCGAGGCTGGGGCGGCGCACAGCAGCAGGCATCAGCAGCGGGGGCGTGTGGCTCGCGGCTGCGGCCCCGCAAGATGGCAGCCTCCCCACCCGCGGCCGGCCTTCGTTTCATTATTTTTGGAAGCTACCCCGCTGCATGCAGCCCTGTTTGCCGGCACGGGTGGTGGTGTGCCCTGTGCCAACGTGCCTCGTCCACCCACAACCTTCTTCTTCCCTCACAGTGTGCGTCTTTTTGCTCTTGCTCCCAGTTTGCAACTTGCATTTCGCAGCGCAGCGCAGCAGGCGAGGGGGGAATGGGCAGAGGATCTTGAAGGGTAGGAGGGATCTGGCGGGGCGAAGAGCAGGGCTCAACACGAGCATGGAATGGCAGCAGCAGAGCAGGAGGAGCAAGCAGGAAGCAAAGTGCGGTGGGTGGCTACCGAAGGGAGCTGGAAGCAAAGCCTCGCCACAGGCCCCGCACTCTGCCCCCGCTCAGCGGCTGCACCCTGCCGCCCAGCAGCCGCGCCGCCGCTGCTGCCAAGATGCCGCCGCCGCCGCCGCCGCTGCTGCCTGCTGCTGCTGCTGCCGCGCCGGTGTGGTACTGCCGCGCCTGCGCCTGCCCCGCATCCTGCTGCGCCGCCACCAGGCGCTGCCGCAGGTAGGCCGGCAGGTCGCCCGGCGCGTGCGTCGCCTCCTCCGCATCGCTCCTCCTGGTATCTGCCGGCCCCGCCGACGAGCTGCGCGGCTTGCCCCGCTGCTTGAGCACGTCGGGGCGGGGCACGATGGAGGCGGAGGCGAGGCGGCCGCGCGTGACGCGCACCTTGGTGCCGTCCTCCAGGAACCGCCAGCTGGCGCGCGCCGCGCTGCCCGTCAGCGGGTCCACCAGCGACACGTTGGAGTAGTGCAGCGGCGACTCCACGCTCACGATGCCGCCGGGGTTGTCCTTGCTGCGCTTGATGCACCGCTTGTTCTGCGGGGCAAGTGGGGCGTGGGGTCGGCGAGGCGTGGTGAGGTGGGGGGGCGTAGGTGGCGGCTGCAGCTTGCTACTCGGTCGCGCATCAGTAGCCATGGCAAGGAGAGGGATGAGGCCAGGGAAGAGGGATGAGCAGGCTGGTGATCAGGCAGGGGCACACAGCAGTGCGGTGGCGGCGGCGGCGCCGCTGTGGACGGCCCGGCGGCAGCAGCAAGGGCAAGCCCTGCGGCCCGCCAATGTACTCACCAGGTTCAGGCCCTCCACCACCACGCGTGGGAACTTGGGGTCGCGAATGACCTTGAGCACGGTGCCCACTTGGCCCGCATCCTTGCCCGCCGTCAACATGACCTTGTCCCCCCGCAAAATTTTCCACTTGGTGGTCTGTTGCATCACATCCTTGAAGCCCTTCCGCCAAACGCCCATGTCTGGCACAGGTGCTGGCTGCCCAGTTGCGTGTAGCACTCCTTGGCGATGCTAGAGCGCACTGGGGTGCTTGCCGTTGGATGAATGGGCAGGTTGCACGGGATTTTGGGGACTATGCCATCTAGCGGACTCCTTCCACCGCTGCTTTTCTTTAGCTTTTGATCAGTGTTCCCGTGAGTGCCTTGCTTTCCCTTGCACACATTGACGGGAGAGAGGGGTCGATCGGCGCCCGACAGCTTGTCCATCATCTCGGAGGCTGACCTGCAGCCCGCCACAGGTGCGCGATGCGCCGTCTAGGTTCTGATCTCGCCTGCTTGGAGGCGCAGGGCGCTCCTGTGTGGCCCAAGACGGCCCGGGATTCGCCCTGCAGCCACGGTGTTGCAAATCAGCCTCTCTTGTGCAGGCGTCCGGACGCGCTCGGAGGCATGGACGGCTGGGGCTACCAATCGGGCCAGCCGGCCCAGCAGGTGCGCGCCATGGAGCTGTGCCGCCGCCACCGCCCGCTCATGCGCCGCGCCTGCAGACGCGCGTGCATCTCTCGTGCAGGCCCTGTGCACCCACCTCGCTGCCAGCCTGCTCTCCTGCTCTCCTGCCCCACAGGACTTGTTCGGCCAGCAGTTTGCCCAGCTGGGCCAGCAGCCCAGCTACTACCAGCACACCTCCGCTGCGCCAGTGAGCGGCGGCGAGGTCATCGCGCCAGAGGACTTCCTCAGCAGCGAGCCCGCTGAGCTGGAGGGCGAGCCCGTGGCGGCAGCGGAGCCAGAGAAGGCGCAGGAGGAGGCGCCGCCAGCGCCGGTCCAGGCGGAGCCAGCACTGGCAGCGGAAGGTATGCGCGGGCCGAGGCAGGGCCTGACTACAGCCGAGCGGCAAATTTGAATCCTGGCGCATTCCCCATGCTCGTCCTCGACACCCGAGCAGCCGCGCAGCTTCCCTGCGCCTCCCATGCAAGCCGCACGCTGCTTGCAAAGGCAAGCAAGCCAGGCTGCCTTCATGCTCTGCCCTCCCTGCAGCCGCTCCCGACGCGCCCACAGCGGAGGAGCCACGGGCTGCCGAGCCGCCAGCCGAGTCTGCGCCTCAGCCTGAGGCCGAGGGGGTGGGCATGCTGGCGTCGGATGATCTGGAGGCGGTGCCGCCCACACAGGGGGGCGACCTAGAGGCGGTGCCGCCCACGCAGGATGAGGAGGTGGAGGCGGTGCCGCCCACGCAGGAGGATGAGGAGGCGGGTGGGTGCCTGCCGGCATTGTCGGGATTGTGCATGTCGGCGCAGCCGCCTGTGGCTGTCGCTCCTCTGCTGGCCAGCGCTGACAGCTGGGACCACGCCTCAGCCCACCACGATCTCCCTGCCTACCTGCCTGACAACTTATCATCCGCAGCAGGAGCGCCCGCCCAGGAGGAGGCCCCCTCCGCTGCGGCCGAGCAGCCCGCTGCCGCCGCTGAGCCCGAGGCGCCTGCCGGAGAGGCGGCGGCGGAGCCCCCGGCAGCAGAGGCAGAGGAGGAGGAGGCGGCGGCGGCGGCGGTGCATCACCCGGGCATGGCCGCCATTCCAGGTCAGCAGCTGTTGGGTGGGGTGGAGCAGGGCCGGGGTGTGTTGGGCCGGGCTGCACTGCCTCGCATGCACCATGGCTCGCTGTGCAGCAGGGAGCTGTGGTGCAGCAGCCCTGCCGCTGCCCACCCGCCGCATGCCTTCCTCCTTTGGCATGCTGCAGCGGAGGAGGAAGTGGAGGGGCTGGCGGGAGAGCGTGTGGAGGAGGAGGAGGTGAGCAGGGCCAGTTTGTCGTGAGGCTGCTGCTGCCTTGCAGCAGAGGGCAATGAGATGCACTCATCTTCTTGTGTGTGTTTCCTGGGTTGTGCCCTGTCCCCCCTGCAGAAGCCTGCTGCCGAGGAGCCGCAGGCAGCGGCACCTGCCGAGGAGCCTGCCGCCCAGCCAGAGCCAGAGCCAGAGCAGCAGAAGATGGATGTGGAGGCGGCAGAGGAGGAAGGCAAGTGGAGCAGGGGTGCTTTGCTTTGCTGGCTGGCTGGCTGGCTGGCTGGGCGTGCTGCTGGGGTTGGCACTGATGTAAGAACAGGAAAACGCTGCCTCCAGCTACCTCTGCCTGCCCGCTACCCTGCCTGCCTGCCTGCCTGCAGATGGTTTGGAGGTGGAGGCGCCGGCTGCGGGCGAGGAGCAGGCCGCCGCCGAGGAAGAGCCCTTCGCACCAGCGCCAGAGGCAGAGGCGGCAGGTGGGCAAGCAGTGGCCACTTCCGGGGAGGTTTAGTGCAGTCCAGACTGGAGGATGTTTGCTCGGCACGGGCAGCCCTGCACGCAGGCTTGGTGCCTCCGCCACTCCCCTCCCCTGTCCCTTGCTGTCACGCTTGCAGCTGCGGCGCCCCCGGCTCCCGAGGCCGCCGCTGAGGTGGAGGCCACCGCTAAGGTGGAGGCCGCCCCTAAGGTGGAGGCCGTCGCTAAGGTGGAGGCCGTCGCTAAGGTGGAGGCGGAGCTGCAAGAGGCGATGCAGGAGATGGAGCAGGAGTTGCTGGAGACGGCAAAAGAGGTGGCGGAGCTGGAGGCAGAGGCTGCAGAGGCTGAGGACAAGGGGGCAGCTGGTGAGTGCCATTCGACTCGCACCACAGGCAGCAGCATGCCTGGGTGGCATGGGCGATCGTGCCGGCTGCGCAGCGTGCAGCCCTGCCGGTGTGCATGGCAGGGAGGCAAGGGCTGCGTGTCTCGCGTGCCTCACCTGCCTGCTGCCCCGCTGTCTGGCATGTCTGCCGCACTGGCACTGCAGAAGTGGCAGAGGAGGAGGAGGTGGAGGAGGAGGAGGAGCCCAAGAAGCGCACCCGCTGCGCCGCCCCCGCCAAGGCAGCCCCCGCTGCCAAGACGCCAGCCAAGGCGCGTAGCAAGGCAGCCCCCGCTGCCAAGGCGCCAGCCAGGACGCGCGGCAAGGCAGCAGCGGCAGCCAAGCCGGCGGCGGGCAAGGGGCGGGCCAAGGCCGCACCTGTGGCGGACGACAGCGCTCAGAAGAAGTCGCGGGCGGGCACCCAGCCTCGCGGCAAGGCGGCGGCCGCTGAGAGGAAGCCCGCCGCCGGCAAGCGCAAGGCGGCTGAGGAGCCGGCAGAGAAGCCGGCAGCCAAGCGTGGCGCGGCGGCGGCCGAGGGCAAGGCCAAGGTAGCAGCGAAGCCTGCAGCCAAGAAGGTGATGGCGGTGGCTGGGTCTGGGAGGGCCCCAGTCGGCAGGACGGCGCTGACGATGCGGCCAGCTCGTGCTTCAGCCTGCATGCGGGGAGGAGGAGGGGCGAGGGGCGAGGGGTGAGGCGTTACAGTGCCCCCACACCACCCCCCTGCCTCTGCTGCAGGCCGCCCCAGCCAAG